TGGGCAGCACAACTGTTTTCAACATTGATAATAATCAGAAATGTTTGTTGAGCAGCAAATCAGCATATTAGAATGATTTCTGAAGATCATGTGACACTGAAGACTGGAGTAATGATGCTGAAAATACAGCTTTGATCACAGGAATAAATTACAGTTTAACAGATATTAACATAGAAAACAGCTGTTTTAAATTGTAAAAATATTTCATAATTTTTACTGTACTTTTTCATCAAATAAATGCAGCCCTGGTGAGCAGAAGAGACTTCTTTCAAATATTTAAAAATCATAATGTTTTCAAACTTTTGAAAATTACTGCAGATTCAACTTTCAAACTTCAAGGCTTTTTAAACCTATTTTCAAAACTTGCATAAAATAAATAAATAATACAATTTGAGTGTCTTCAAAATTGAATTAATTATAGTTCTACTTCCTTACATTCAGATTGGAATTGCTCAAATTTTTGCATCTTGTTAGAAGCTGATTGTTTGTATCATCATTTATATTGCAGTGAAATCTGGGCTAGAGATGAATGCAAATTCATTTTAGAGTAAAACACCATGTGAATGTGCATGTGTATGTGTGTGTATAAGTATTAAAGTCCTGCATGATTTGGTTTGCCCAGCTGGTACTCATGAGTGTGCGTGTGTGTGTGTGCGTGTGTGTGTGTGTGTGAAGAAGAAGATTAAACGGTCTCTGGTCGTATCTGGACTCTTGTAGTGACCAGCGGCAGGCCATATGGCGACACTCATAGAGCCGAGACCAGACAGATACATCTATCAGTGAAAATCTCAAAATCAGCCCAAAACACGTTCATGACGGCATGTTGAGATTTGTCAAATACGGCACGTTCAGCCCGTGTTAATCCAGCACTATGAAAGTACATTCATGTTTATGGGGTTTGGGTTTGGCAAACAAGACGAATTTAGGTCAAAACACACTAATCTTTAGTGAAATCATCTTTAGAAGTGCAGCTATTTCTGATTTTGTTACAGTGTCTTCACAACAGACACGAGTATGAGCTCATTTCACATTAGATATGAAGGTTTGATGTTATTTTTTTACTGTACTGTGCTTAATAATAGTCATTTTACAAATACTTTTATACAAAAAGACTAATAACACACTCAAAGCCCTAAAAAACAAATATGTGTTACATATACATTTTAACTAAAACTAAAGCTTTTAAAAATAATTTTCGTTAAAACAAAATATAAATATTAGATGAAAAATGTGAACGTAAAACAATAATAATGTTGCTTTGGCAATTAACTGAAATAAATTAAAATTATTAAAACTAAAACTAATATATTATAAATTAATGTTCATTAGAAAGATACAAAAAAAATAATAATAATAATAGAAATGACACATTGAAAAATTACTTAAACATTACCTAAAATTAAAATGAAAACCGAAAATAGTATTAAAAATAGTATTATAATAGTATTAAAAATACAAAAAAATACTATTTTGTTAATTGAAACAAAGTGCATGCACACATATTACTGCACAGGGCAATTAGTGAAGGTCCTTCCTCTTTCTAGGGCTATAGATGAGAAAAGCGATCACGCAGACGACTGCGGCTGAGATTTCATTCACTGACTGCAGGAATTAGCACATGATGTGATCTGGGTTTTTAACCGCAGCCATTAGTGGAAATAAGAAACAGATGTGTGTGAGTCATTGTGATGTGTGTGAGTCATTGTGATGTGTGTGAAAGCATCTGTGTTTGTTCTGAGAGACTGTGTGTGTGTGTGTGTGTGTGTGTGTGTGTGTGAGAGAGAGAGAGTGAGTGTGTGTGTGTGAGAGAGAGTGAGTGTGTGTGTGTGTGTGTGTGTGAGAGAGAGAGAGAGAGAGTGTGTGTGTGTGTGTTTCATAACTGTATTTATTGTATTAGATTGATCAGATTTGATCAAGTTAGAATGAGAGAGAGTGATTAATTGAACAGAAAATGACAAATAAGAACCATTTAATACTTCATTCTGGATTGCTTCTCTCTCTTAAAGGGATAGCTCACTCAAAAATGAAAATTCTGTCATCATCTACCCACCCTCATGTTGTTCCAAACCTGTATGATTTTCTAAAGAATATATTTTGAATAATGTGGGTAACCAAACTCTTTCTGGTCCCCACTGACTTCCATATTATTATTATTATTATTTTTTCATAATATGGAAGTCAATGGGGGCCGGCAACTGTCTTTAAAATATCTTATTCTTCTCTCAAAATATATTCAGTGTCTTGTTTAACTTAAAAAAAAAAAAGAAGATGTTTAAATTGGTTTAATTATTTTGATGAGTTAAAACAATGGAAGAACTGAAACAATTTACAATAAGGTTCTATTTGTTAACATTAGTTAACTTAATTAGTTAACAAACTAAACTATGAAATGTAAAATATTTAGTGACATTTAGTGACGTTAAATAATGACTGTGAACCAATCCCTGATGTGAATAATCTATTTTTGTAATTTATGTAATTTTCTTGTTAATTTATTAGTATTAGTATTATTTTATTTATTTCAATATTATGTTTATATACTGTCTGTATTTATCTATGTATGTGAGTGTACTCATATATTAAATATTTATTATTCATTTATTTATTTTTATATTTTATTTATTTTTATTTTTGTATATTTGTTTATTATTATAATTATTTTATATATCTATTTTTATTGTTATCCTTTATTTATTTAAATATGTGGTAAATTGTTTTGTATTTTGTGTTGTTCTTTTGGATTTTTTGACAAAATGCAATAAAAACAGAATTGAATGAAAAAAACAATGTGACTTGTATCGTGTGCATTGTATAGTGTTACTGAAAAAAACATGATCACTTTTTTTTTTTTTTTACAGTGTACTGGATTAATGCTAAACTTAAATATTCCTATCTGAAATACATTAAAAACATATATAAGAGTGTCTCTAATGACGGTGTTCTGTGGGTTTGTACTACCTCTCATTAAAACAGTAGGTAGTACAATTCGACAACGAAAAATGCTACGTGTCAAATGATGGTTTAATAACATCCACAAACACAGGAATCCCTCCTGCAGCACTGACAGCGACGGCAGAGCTGCAGATCACAGAAACACACTGAAGCAAACGCTCACAGACACAGCAAACCAAAGCCTGAACTACTCAGGTCAAATTTCTCTGAATATGGAAATGACAATATCAGCAATATGAAGACTATAGCACATTTCCATACACAAATGGACGGGCGTTCAGCTGTATAATTATCAGTGAAAATAAAACCAACAGACCGAGACCCGGTCAAAATTACGGATGACGCAGAGCTGCATCTTGGAAAACAATTATGCTGATTTGCAAAAAAGGCCTAATATTATCAGATTTGTTGACGCTGAATTCAAATATCGATAAAAACTTTCCATCACAACGTTTTTTCACAAAACAAGAATGTATATAGAAGACATGCTTGAATGCACTTATTAAAATAACAAAAGGAGTAAAATGTCAATTATGATAAAAAGTCACTCTAAAACAGTAGAAGAATCCATTCAAATATTTAATGTCAAATAACCTTACAAAATGTTGTGCATGTCAAAAAGTGCTGAGAATGGATCAAATAGTTGTAATGTGGCTCAGATTCAGACAGAATTGTGTGTTTGTGGTGTTTTTCTGCTGATTAAGGGAGAATTCAAGACTAATTCACCACACAAACAGTCAATGAGTGCAAAAATGCTATGAAACGTATCATATTATTTAGTGAGAAAGTGTGACGTGAAAGAGCAAAACAGACAGTGTTTATGGAATCAGCAGATCCAAAAATGAGTAAGAAACAAGTGTTGGGTTTGATTCCTCAGATATGACGCAGGGCGGTGTGATGATTACAGAGAAGCTCAGAGTTCAGACTCAGCGCGCTGTAGTTTTGCAGTCACCGGTCAGATACACACACACAGACAGACACACACACACACACACACACACACACACACACTCACAC